AGCAGGTTTCCCCAACACATCGAAAGGGTGCAAGTGGAAGGAGCTGCACCGGAACTTTGCACGACTAGACATGCCCCAGTTACACTTGTCTCACTATGCAGACAAGTTACTTTTGCATGTACCCAGGCAGCGAGATGCTTGGAATATTTTGTCATCCAAGTTTGGTGAAAAGCTGGCAGCTGATTTGTCTCAAAACTTGGATCGGTGTGGAGCAAGAACAGATGGGGTTTTGCCAACTATCACGCCAAAGGGCATCTTCCCAGTCCCTGGTGCAGGCCGGCTGCTTGTTCCTGTGGAGAAATTGCTGGTGCATGGGTATCCAATTCACACCATGTCTTTCCCTCCCACTGTCACAGAGCAAGATATTGAGACAATGGGCGGCCAGACAATGAGCATCCAGGTGGTGGCAGCTGCGACATTGCTGGCTTTGAGCTTTGTAGATTGGGTGAACCCAGCCAGCAATTTGCCCAGCTGCAAACCGGTTAGCCAAGAGCAGGGCCAAGGGGAATACTTGCCAATGCTGCCGCCAGGTTTGGCTCAGCGGTATGGCTTGCCTTGGAAGTATCTTTTGAACCCAAACAGGTCAAAGCCAGTCAAATTGAAACGTGGCCAGGTCAGACACTGCAAGCCACGCACTGTCCGGCGCACTGTTGTAAAGAAGCCCCTACTTGTGCGTTTGGCACAGCGATGGAATTCTTGCTGACTGTTGATTTTTGTGTACCAAGTTCTTGTAGCAAAGGGTTCCTTTTCATGGCCAGCTGTATGAAACATACACAGAGCCACCAAGACAATGCCAATTTGTTTGCAAAAAATGCTAGGCTGCATGTTGGCCATGTGCATGCTGTGCCCACTCTTGCAGTGGGCCAAGTGTGACTGACAACACGGTTTTGGTTCAGGCCCAGGGCACAGGGTCCACATGCTAGGGTTCTGAGCAATGCCACCTTCTCCCGAATCTTTAGCTGCCAGGTTTGGTTTGGCTAGGAAACGTGCTGCGCCAGACACTGCTGGGGGCAGAGGTCCCAAGAAGTTGCGACTTTCTGGAACATCCTCTTGTCCAAGCCCTGCTTCAAGCCATGCCGAATCCAATGGTGGTGTTGGGGCAGTGCAGGAATCTGACGCTCAGCATTTGGCCTGGCACCAGGATTGTGCAAAGACATGCGCACGCTGCAAGTTCCCTGTTAGCGTTTATATTCTACAGTTCTTTTGAAATTTGGAAAATTGCACCAGGCTTAAATTCTTTTTGTATGTTGAGACAGTGTTTTTTCGCAAGCCTGTGCCAGGTACATCAAGTTTCGTTCCAAATGGCTCACTCTGGCTACATACCGGCACAGATCTTGGGGAAGATCATGCGACACCGGTTGGTTGTCCACCCGGCCACCTTGCAGAGGGGGGGGGCAGTGGGCCATTGGCTGCCTCTTCTGCAGCCACCTCATGCACAAGCTTGCGGAAGATAAGGAAAAAAGAAAGCTACTGCCCCTTTCCCTTGAAATCTGTGTTTTGTGTAGTCCATTGCCTTACTATTATGTTTTTCCTTTTTTTGGTATCCCAGTCTTCAGCAAACAGCAATATTAAAATAGGTTTGTGTTGAGCATGTATCAAAATACAAACCCAGTTGGAAAGGAAGTCCAAAAGACAAGTGGGAAGTAAAAGGCCATTGAGAGCTTGAGTGGGTTAAACTGGTTTAAGGGCACAGGGCACAGGGCTGTTGAAGTTTGGCTGGCACCAGGATTGTGTTTTATTTGGTTTTGCCTTTCTGGTTGGCTCCTGATTGTTTGAGGTTTGGCAGCCGCTTCTCCACAAAGTGGGGTGCTTTCCAAGTTCGTTCATTGCACCTGGGGCAAACAAGTAAGTGTTCAGTTTGTTGAGCGCATCATTCTTTGTTTGGGTGCCCAGTCACATGTCGGCTGACTGGTTCTTTCGGCTTCCCCAGGAAAGCTATGCAGGCATGTTGCCTTCAGCAACACGCTGCAACGACTGTGCACAAGGTGGCCACAAAGTCATTCTTGCTACCTGATCTTCCCATTTCCCAATGCTTGCCCTATTCCCTCAAGGATCAACAGCTTCTGAATGGCAATGTGCCACAGCCTTTGGACTGGCTCCGTGCGTGGCGGGCATGCAAGGCCACTGCTTCGTTTGAGGGTGCTGTGTCCTTCTATCAGACAGATGATTTTGCCCGTGGCTGCAGGAGAAGAACATCGTCCCGGAGCTTGAGATGCATGATTATAGTCATGCACTGGGCAGTCAGGAAGCTGCGGAAGGAGAGGCTGATGGCTGCAACCAGCATCAGTGTTTCAGTCGATGACAGGAAGGACCACCGCCTGGTAAGATATCGGTGCTCCTTTCTCCCACAGGGCACAGGGCCCAGGGCACAGGAGATTGATTCAAACAATGGACACGCAGTGCAGGACCCAAACAATGACAGGGAGCAGGAGCCTGCTTCGTTCAACTCCATCGAAGATTGGTGCAGGGCACCGCCAGTTGTGCAAGAGGGCCTGCTTGGTGTTTACAGGTTAGGTGGTGATGTGGCTGAGAATACTTTGGAGAGTCATGACCAGGACAAGAGTGATTCAATGGCCTCTTCAATCCACACAGTCTTGGAGCAAGGCTGTCGAGACCCTGATGGCTGCTTAGACAATGAAGCGTTGGATGCCATTCGAAAGCGGATCCACCATTTTGCTTCTGACCAAGGTCCTTCGGTCATGAAGTGCAGCAAGATCATAGCCTCTGACCCTAGACTTCCAAACATTGTTTGGGCATCGTACGATCCAGCGCACCAGGTGAGGAATGCTTTCAAGGACCCTCTTAGTGCAGAACCAGAGTTCAACCAGCAATGGGAAAGACTGTTTGGCCATAGCAAATCACTGGTCCCCTTGATTCAAAACTCAGAGGTTTGGAAGGCAAGGTTGATTGCAGCTCAACGTGCTGTTTGCGAGCAGCATGGCAGCCAGGGAGGCATAGATAAGATCATGCGGAACTTGAGCATTGCAAAGCATCGCTTTGACAGCGCTGGCACCCCCATGTTCAAGTACTGCTGCGCTATTCGCGCGATTGCTTTGGTGTGTGGCATGCAAGCAGCTGACGAAGCTTTTGCTTGCTTTGGCTTGTGTTTAGTAGTTTTCTTTGATGGCCTTAATGTCCTAATAATTGCTTTCAGTAGTCAAATTGTGGCTGGATTAGGAGCGAAATTCACCGAGTTTGCGGAAGAGGGCTGAAGCAGCTTTGCTGGACATGGTGGCTCCAAATCTGGTCCGGGTGGGCCTCACCTGTGACTTCACTGCTGAGTGTCTCTCTTTCCTGCGCACCAACTTTGACATAGACGATCCAGATGTGTCTTTGTTCCAGCAAGCCTTCAAAGAATTCCACAGCAGGCAGAAGGCATTGTTCATCGATGGCCACATTCTCATGGACCCATCCACCCTCCCAGGACCCACAGTCCACAGTGGCAAGACTGCCACGCAAATTATCTTTGAAATTGAAGCACCAGAACCGTGCCTTGTTCCATCGATGGGTCTGAGCGTTTTTCCTTTTTGCAGCAATGATTTGCTCTGAGTTGGGTGCCAATGTTTTGCCAGTCACAGTGAGGATATACTATGGTGGCAAGGTGCACTTCTTGTGCACTCGTGCTTCTGCCCAAGAGGTCAGAGGCATCATGAACAAGATGGCCTCTGTGGTGGATGCCATGCTGCAAAGGCTTGATGTTGACTTGGCTGGAGACCAAGTGGCTGTGGCCCTTGAGGCTTTCAACTTGGCATGTTGTGCACACCAGGACCAGCGCCGGCGGCTTGCAGATTTGATGCTGCAGGTATGCAAGCTCCTGCGCCTAAGAAACTTTGCACAAGGGGTTGCCAGATCCCTTTGTTTGATGGCCAAGACACAGGCTTCTCTCAGACCGCAGGTTTTGCATGTCCTACCAGCTGCAGACAACAGGTTCTTATGGTCATGGGCTGTGGCCCCACAGTGGCGTGCCAAGTATGCGCGCCAGGTTCCATGGTGTCCCAAGTGTGACGAGGTGGTGGGCTTTTTTGCTGCCTTGAAAGTGAACACTACAACATTGGAGCGAGACCTTGGCCACTTGTTGAACAAACTTCAAGCACATAGTGGCCCTTTGGCTGCTGATGGTGCCACCATCAGTGCTATCCTTGAAGTTGCAATTGAAGGCCCGCAGACAGAGGCTGAAGTTTTTTGCACCTGCTGCAGAAGAAGGTGGTCAGCTGGGCCTGACTCCATTTTCAAGGCTTTGTGCCAATCTATGGGTTGCTCACTTTGAGCGGCGATTCCGGTATGCAAAGGGCACAGGGAACAGGGCACAGGGCCCACCTGCCAAAAAGCATCCAAAACCAGGAACATGGGCGGCCGCACAGCATGCCCGTGCATGCTTGACATCAAGGATAGCCAGGCAGGCTGGATCAAACCAGGAGGCTTCCAGCTTTGTGCCTGATTTGATGCTGCCATTGACACCTGTGCCCAGCTTGAGTGGCACTCGTTGGGCCCCTGATGCTGCACCGCCAAAAGACCCCTTGCGTCAGTTCAAGCTTCAAACACAACGCAAGAGATCTAGATACCTGGCAAATCTGGTTCATTTTCTGGTCGAGTCAGACTCCAACCTTGCTTGATTCCTGTGTTTGTCAGCAGGCCAAGTGATAGCCAGGGTGCTGTTGATGGTGCCAGTGCTTTTTGTTTGTTAAACGCAGCTGTCAGTTTTCTAAGGACATAGGGAAGCAGTTCAGCGCCGTGCCTTGGAGCAACCAGCTTACCAGCCAACTGCACCCAAGAGGGGGGGTCTGCGGCAGCTGCATTCTGATTGCTCTGAGCATTTGCGCAAGCTGGGATACAGGAAGCCAATCTGCATTTTACCAGTGTACCGATGGTACACACAGGTCCCCAACCTGGAAGCTACTGACGGTGGGGTTCGGATATTGAATCTGTGGGACGTGGCTGAAGCAGATGTGGTGGTGGTTCACCAATTGGCTGACATTGACAATGTTCGTGACACACATTTGGCCTCTTGGCTTTGATTCTGTGTACACACAACTTCTTTCATTCAACCCATGACTGAAGTATTGTCTGAAAGCCATGAATATGAATCAAGAGGGGGCCCTTTGCTGAAGCTTCCTCACAGCAGCTTATTGAACAGGTTCCATGTTTCTTACTGGCTTGGGCTTAGGTCTGGCCACTGGCCTGGTGTTCTGAATTTTTGTGTTTTGTTCAAGGGCAGAAAAACACCCCTGCTCTTTAAATCATTGTTTGTGCAGTAGTTTGTTTGGGGTAGTTTCTTGTCCTGGGTGACCCTCAGGCCAGTGCTCTACTGCACTGTTACGCAACAGGCTGCATTCTAGCAAGCAGAGAAGATATGCAGGCTTACATGGAGCAGCCCCAGAGAGACCGGAAGGCCCCAGCATTTATGTTGCACTTCCTTCCAGCTATTTGCAAAAAACGCCTGGGCATCCAGCTGAGGGACGAGTTGCTCAAGCAGCTAGATTTGGGTGTTTGGCACCTTTGTCTTACCTTTGTGTGTTCGCTTGGGGGTAGTGATGTCAAATCCTTACATCACATGAGACTTTGCCTTACCAGGGAGGTGGTTATGTGTGGCAGCAGGGTTTCAACTTGGTGAGGCACCGCCAGCTATGCGAAATCTTCATCGCTTGCGCTACAGCTTCTAAAGCTGCTTGGAAGGTTGCCAAAGGCAGCCTGCCTTATGAGCCTGGCTGCAAGAAGAGAGAGATTTGGACTCTCAAGCAGATGTGCCATGTGTGGGACTTTTTGAAAAGCATTCGCACACTAGCAAGAAAGCGCTCGGTGTGTGTAGGGAAAGTGGCCCTGAAGCCACTGCGAAAGTAGTGAGCTGCCTGAATTTCAATTAGTTCTTGCTGGCATAGTCTGGCTCCACTGCCCTTGATAGAGGATCTGAATCCTTTGTTGTTGGCAACACCATGGAGCCAAGCAACACAGTAGGGTCATTGCTGCAGGGGTTGGGACAGCAAAAAATGCAAGCTGCACTGTCCTGTTCAATACACCCTGGGATTTCACCATCCAGTAGTGTATTCACAGGTCATGGCGATCCTACTTTTCACTTTTCAAGCTTATGTGAAATCACACAGCATTCATTACATACAATACACCTCGGGGTGGTGAAATCCATTGGTGAATTCTTAGGTCGCTACGCCCTTTCATTTCACTTTCCTCCAATTCACCCTTGGTTCGTGCAAACCATTTTGACCCTAAGAGTTTTTTTTTTTCCAACCCTTGGCATCTGTCTCAGGTGCTGGCCAATGGCTGGTCGTCCTCCAGTTCCTGCTTTGGAAGCTGTGTCTCAATGGCTGAAGGAGGAAGGGCCAAGGAATGAGTGGAGGAAGCTTTCACATGCAGCATTTGAGGCTGAAGGGTGCAGCAGCAGAGTACTGAAGGGTTTGTTTGGTTTGTACGAACCGGGAGTGAATTGGGGGGGTGGCCCTACCTCCTTCTTTTCATGTGCTTCCAGGCGGGAAAGCTTTGTGCTAGTGGAAACGATTTGACCACCTTGGCAGAGTTTGTCTTCCGGGGTCTACCTGCAGATGATGTGCCAGCTGTAGCTGCCCCAAGTTTTTTTCAGCCCTTCACCTGTGCAGCTTTGACTTGCCCAGGCGACCATGGCTGCCTACTTGCTGTATCGCAGCCGGTGTTTGCCTGCCAGATTTTCTCCAAAAGCTTTGCCTTTGGAGCTGCTGAAGCATTGCAGCCCTTTTCTGGAGTTGAAAAAAAGGTATACCTTTATCATTTCATCATTGCTGTCAAGGCTCTTACCTGCACACTGTGTCAAAGAAGCCCAGCCTTGAGCCAAGTTTTCCTATTTAATTCCTATTGTGCTTTCCAGGACTTGCAGCCCTGCCAAGGCCAGGATCGCACTGCCAAAGCCTTGAGAGCTCTCCTGCGGCAGGAGACTTTTGCTTCCCTAGACCCAGCTGAGCAGCTGGGCTTCATTGTCATGGGTGCCTATGTGCGGGACTACACGCATGCTTCCAATCTATGCACTCACTGAGCAACAGCACAGTCCTGTGCATCCAACATTTGACCTGCTTGCCAGGCTTGCAGAGTTCTTTCTCCGGTGGGTCCGGGGCACAGGGCACCAGGGTCTTTGCTTGGCCAGTGCCTTGGTGGCCTTTTTCCGAGAGACCGGAGGACCAGGCCAGCGCAGGCGTTTGCTACCTGCCAAGACCATTGTGCGGAGATCCATTGGCAAGCAGCGGAAGCAGGCTGGGTGGCTGTCACCACCATGTCTGACAGGCAGTTTGGAGTTGTGGCTGACAGGTACCAGCTGTGAAAAAGGCCACTATCCAGCCCAACACTGACATCAACTCATTGACTTTGCAGACAGCCTTAGCCATGATAGCTCAATTTTTGGATGGCCGCGTTCATCAGATGATACTGGAAGTAGATGGTGAATGGAAAGTGCATGGGGGCATGCCCCTTGCCAGTCATGTTGTCTTTTTGAGCAGCCAGTTTTTCTGCAATCTTTGAAGCCTAGTTGACCATCATCAGTACTAGGAGATTAGCCAATGCTCAGGCTGTCTCGGCTTGAGATGCGGGCCAACAAGCTGATGCCTGTGCACATATGCCAGACCTTGTTTTGGTTGCAGAGGTTGGCCAGCCCCCAAGAGTGCGATCAGGTTGAATGATTTCTGAATGGATTTCTGGCAGCAAAGCAAGGACTAGTCAAGTTTGCCAAGTTAGCAGCACAATGCAAAAGATTTGGTCAAAAAAGGTTGCGAGTTTGACCAAATACTTGGGCTGCAGGAATGGCACTAATGCCAAAGCATTTCGA